TGTGGTTCCGTTCGTCGCACTGTATTGTAACTACCTACTACCCACTGTCTGTTCTTCATTGTCCTTCGTCCTCCTCTCTCTCTCTCTCTCTCTCTCGCTGTTTTTGTCTATTGCAAAGCTCAATTGTGTGGTGGGGAAGCCGGGGAAGGACGAGGCAGGAGCATGCATGGGAGTGCCACTGCGCCCCTGTGGCGGCTGAAAGTCATCAACGGCTGCCAACGCAACGATGATCTGCTGCTTCCAGTAGCACCGCAGCCGTCGCTGCTACAGCCATTCTACGCGCATTGGCACGACGAGGACGAGGAGCGTCAGAACACGACCGACCCTGCCGCTGAGGACGAGTCTGCGTCGGTCAATCGCCCCGATGACATGAAGACGAGGAAGTCGAAGAGAAAAAAGATGAAGTTGTCCGCTGCCCGTCGTCGCATGATCGCCCCACGTGACTGGCTGAAGAGAATCCCGCATCTCGTCTTGGGGCGACACACGTGTCTTCCACGACCGTGTCGGCTGCGGCATGCCTGCGTAAGTCGGCTGCATTGCCGTGTGGTGTACGTGAGTGACGCCACCATGCACAGGCAGCTCCTGTCAAAGTACCCCCCCGCAGGTCGCGGATCTGCAACTAATAACCCCAAACGTGTTAGTGAAGACGTGAAGGACTATGTGGTCATTGACGACGACGCCAAGCAGGAGGACGGCGAGGGGGCTCTCTTTACGGGGCCATACTACCGCCTGATCAACTTTGGATCCAACCCGCTGTACGTGAATGACGGACCGCTGCCTGCTGGGGAGAGTAAGGCTCTGTGTGAACACGACTTTGTGGCGTTTCTGGAAAACCCCTTTGATGCAGAGGGCGGCGTGCTGCAGCCACTGCGGCCCGAGGACGCCGCCGCAACAAACAATGAGGAAAAAACGGAACCCATAGACGCAATCACTGAGAAGGGCCCAACGACTGGTTCGCCCACCGCCCGTGTTCTGTTCGAAAGTGCGAGCACCACAACTGCGGTGGGGGAATCATCTGCACAGGCGTGCAATTTAGAGGCCTGCGCAGGGGCATGTGTGCCTCCGCTCTTCGTGGAGGTCAACGGGGTGCGAGTTGCACGCTACCTACCGCGGTGTGTGCCACCTGACGTCCTACAGCGCCTCGGCACGGCAGCTGTCACTATTTCTGGTGGTGCCACGCTGGGACGAAGTCCACAGCTTGCTGTGGACCACAACCGTCTTCTGGGGAGCCTGAGGCGTGAGCCGAGCAGTCGCCCGCTCCCCAATGATGAGACGAAGGGAAGTTTCGTAAAGGAGTCCAAGAGCCCAGCGCAGCAGTCAGACTGCGGTGTAGCCATGGCAACCCTCGCAGATAAGAGTGATGAGTACTTCACACCACCACCTAAGTGCCCTGCAGGTGGCATGGAGCCAGAAGAGGGAAAAGAACACAACATCGTGGATGGGGAGGCGGAAGCGGAAGCGGAAGAAGACGAGGGCCTTGACATTGCTGGCGACGTGGTGTCGCCGCTGCGGCAGCGACTGGTACCATCGCCTTGGCGATGCAGCAGCAGTTGTGCCTCTATGACGCCTGAGGCAAAGGGCTGCCTCGTTGCCGCCTCCAGCGATGTGCCATGCCGTGATGAGAAACCAGCAGCGGCAGCGCCGTTCATCGTTGTTCCACCGCGGCTGCCCGTGTACATCTTTGCGCGGCGCAGTCCGAGTCCTGAGGAATTCACGCGTCAAGCCCCTTTCATTGGCCGCTTCAAGCCACGACAACCAAAAGGGAACGGGGAACCGGAGGCGAGTGACGAGGCTAAGAAACACCACGCTGACGCGGACGCCACGTCTCAGACGGGGCTGGTCATGACGGAGTGGGTGCAGGAAATGTCAGCGGAGGCGACGGTGCCGTCCCCGCAAAGCCGTCGGGGGCGCGTCAAACCCGTGCGGAGGCGACGACGCGTCGATCGTTAATTGCTGGAACACGACGCGATCTGTACTGGCGAACTGCGGTGTCTTTCCCTCCTCCTTCAGAAAGCATATTTCTCCTTCCTTTTTGTTTGGTTTTTATTATGCCCTTTTTGTGGTCGTTGCTGCTGTTGTTGTTGTATGCGTAGGGGTATTTGCTCCCGTTCCTTGCTTCATTGTGTGCGTATGTGTGTGCCGTGCCACGCTGCCTGCACGCCTCTCTGCCTCGTCCTCGCTCTTTGCGTGGGCGGACGGGTACGCTCCTTTTAGGAAGATCACACGAGCACTTACCACCAAAACCAAAACCAAAACCAAAACAAACACACACACACACACACACACACACAGGGAAAAGGAAGACTGAGAGAGAAGCATTGTTTTGCGTTTGTATTCTGCGGACCCGTGGTGTATTCAGCTTTCGTTGTCCGCGTCGTGGTTGATAGTTGGTTTATCATTGTTATTATTACTATTCGCTCGTCAAGGAACTTACGGGGAGAAATGCCACCCAAACGCCTCGCCTATGCTCAAGCCCTGCGTGAGACCTTCACGGAGGCGGAGAGTTGTGCCGTCGTGGAGCGGTGGGCCACGGAAGCGGTGGGTCATCTGGAGAGAGTCGCGCAGCATGCGGCCGTGCAGTACGCCAGTGTGCAAGAGGCGGCGTACACGTCCGGCAACGTTAACCAAACGCCAGCTGGCATCATGTCCGTCATTCGTGACTATCAGTCACTCTGCCTCGGCGTCTACAGAGATGCGGAGGTGGTGCGCACGGTTGTCTCTGTGCGGCTGCCGGAAATAAAGGAGGAAGACAACTTGGGCGTCGCCGTGCAGCACGCCATCGTGCGAATGCTAGACGAGTTGCAAAACAAAACATTGGGGAACGGTGGTTCTGGTGAGAAGAACAGCGGTGTGAAGGCGCAAACAGGTGTGTACGCCCTGCGAGAATACCTGGAGGCCCGCAGTGGTGTGGAGGAGAAACTCCTTGGCAAGCCGGGTGACGGCAACGAGAAGGCCAAGGAGAGTAGCAAAAGCCCTTCACTGTTGCTGGAACTGCGGCAGGTGGACGCCGACGCCCTGCTAAAGGTGGAGCTGTCTGCCATGCAGCTGGTGTCGTCGATGCGCTCTTTCATCAACGCGTACGCACTCAACTGGAAGAAGTTGATTGAGCCACGCACTGGGGGTGATCGCATGGTGAGCTAAAGCGGGGAATGCCTGAGCCTGCGCGGCAGGGAGGAGGACGCAGGTGCAGGCCCCAGACTGCCAGGGACAACGCTTCTTTGCCTCGTGGTGGCAGTACCAAGCCCATTGACCTTCTTTTTTTTGTTTTGCCTGTTTTTTATTTCTTTTTTTTTTTTTTAATGTGCCTGCGTCGATGAAAGCAGCCGGCGTGGGGTGGACGAGAAGAGCAGCAGGTAGCAGTCGGCACAGAGAGAGAGAGAGAGAAAGTGAGGAGAGGAGGTGGCAGGACGCGGAAAGACAAAGTCGTGGCACACGACCCGAAACAGCGATCCGTCTCTGTATGTTTGTCTCTTCTGTTGGGCTGCGCCAACTATCAAGTGCGTCTCCACGCAACTCCCAGACCTTCTTTTCTTTCCTCTTCTTCTCCCTCCTCTTGATTGGCGTAGGACGACGAGTTTTTGTAGGGATTAGTTGTAGGTAAGCAATCACTGCTACTGCTGCGTGTCAGGGACGGAAGGCAAGACCCCCTCCGTGAAGTTGACATAGGCACCTCTAGGCAACAGCAACGACGATAACTAACTAGAAGGACAAAAATATATATATATAAAAAAAGAACAACAACAAATAAAAGGAAAAACAACAACAACAGAAACAACCATCTGTGGTGTGAGCGAAGGGGGGTAACACACAACAGCAGGCGGGCAGGCACGGACGCTCATTGGTTTCCCACAATTGTGCCGTCCGTTCTTTTTTTTTTTTTTCTACTCTTATTTTTCTTTCTTCTGTACTCGAGGAGTTGTTTTTTTGCGTGTGATAGTCCTTTTTCTTTTCTCTCTCTCTCTCTGTGTCACTGCGTGTGTGTGTGGTTGGCGCCCCGTCAACGCTGTGTGCTTAATCAGCGGGGAGTTGTGGCTTCTGGAAACGAGAGATGCGTCGCCCAAGTGCTTTTGCCCTCCGCGGCTCATACACCGTTGCGAGTGGTGGGACGCGGCGCAGCGTTGGGGCGACAACTCTCGCCGATGTGTCGCAGCAGATGCAGGACAACGACGTCTTTTTTGGGGAGGAGTACTACCTGAGCGACGAGGAGTGCCAGCTCCTCGCAGCACCCATCGCTGATTTTCTTTCACGCTGCACAAGTTATGACATGTTAGGCACCTCCACGCAGGTTGTCGTCATTGACGTGGATGCCGTACTGGCGGTGGCGTTTATCGCCGCCCAGGAAACGCGACTCAACGCCTGTGTCTTGTGGGATCCCATTGCTCGCGTCTTTTGTGGTATGATGAGCTCCACCGATTATATTGATATCTTGTTGTACTCCCATGACCACCCCGATGAGGCAGAGCAGCTTTCACGTTACACAATACGACAGTGGCGGGAAAAGCGACGCGGCGCAGCGGGCACTAATACTGAAGATTTCTCATCGTCGCTTCCAGCCCCTGTATTTGTTACCTGCGCCCCGGATACACCATTGAATAAGTGCCTGCAGCGGCTGCTGCATCATCGTGCTCGCCGAATCGCTGTGCTCGCGCACAAGGAGGCCGATGACGTGAGTGTGTTAGCCGTACTGGATCTGCAGCAGATTCTTGTGTACCTCGGTGCCGTTTTTCTGTCTATTGAGGCGGCAGGTGGTGGACGCCGTGGCGTGGAAGGGGCAGCGGGGGTGGATGCCGTGAACTCCTCCGTAGTTGTTCCTACTGGTGTTGCCGCTGGTGATAGTCGCGCGGATGGTGTTGACCCCGTTGATTTTGCGGTTTTGTTTGGTGAAGTGGTGCTGCCGCCGCATGTTCGCAACCTTCTCTCGGCCCCCACGGATGTGGAGGGGGAGAATCCGCTGATGGAGTTTGGAAAGGAGCCGCGGGTGGGGCCATACCGTGCCATATTTGACGTTCCCTTCTGCTACATTCCGCAACTAGGGAGAAATCGGAACCACACCATCTCCGTCACACTTGACTCCCCGCTGCTGGAGGCCCTGCGGCTCATGCTGCAACACAATATTGATAGCATCGCGGTGGTGTCGGAGGAGGGCATCATCGTGGATGTCATTGACCGTAGCGACGTTGTCCGCATCGAGGATCAAGGCGTGTACGACATGAAACTCACCGTTCGCGAGGCCCTTGGGGGCATGGTGACTGAAAAGATCTGCGTCTTCCACGCCAAGGACGCACTGCGGGACATCTTCGTTCACTTCGTGCGGCAGCGGGTGAAGGAGCTGTTTCTCGTAGACCCGGACACCGACAAACTGATGGGTCAGCTGAACATCGCCGAGGTGGTGTTCTTCCTGGTGTTTGGCGTCACCACGACTAACACCACGGCGGACGACCGCAGTAGGCTAAGCACAGCCTCGTCCTCCCTATCCTCCCTCCGCCCCGCTACGTCCAGTGCTACACGTGTGGTTGCCGCCACCACCTCAGACACTTCACAGAGGTAGGACCTCAAAAGAAGAAATAAAAAGCTGAGGCGCAAAAAGAGGGACGGCGAAGAAGAGGAGGAGGGACGTGTCTACCGCCGCGACCTGTGTTCGGGTGTACTGAGGGGATACAAGGAAGTAGGGAGGAAACGCGGAGGAAGGCACTGCTGTGCACACACGGTGCAGTGTCTCACTTGAGAACTCTCCTCCTTCCATTTTTTTCCTTTCTTCCGCCCTTCCTCCCGTTATTACCCCACTATCACCACTACCGCCCAGTGTTTGTTTTCTAGGAATGTGTTCGCACTTGTCTCTTTACGTGGCTCAATTTGTCGTCATCCCGTCACAGCAAGCGCTCCTGTCACCGTTAGTGCCATTGATTTTAATGCTGCCCATTTGGCGTTGTTGCTATATTATTTTCTGTTGTTTTTTTTTTTATGCGTATGTGTGCGTGCGTTGGGTGACAGGGGCTGACACGGACATCCATGATGTGTGTTAAGCTCCCAGCCCATGACGTCGTCTGCCTCGCTCTTCCTGCTCTCAGCCAAATATATCTGTTCCTGCAAGCGTGTATGGATTTGTGTATATCAATATTATGTGTGGCAGACGAGTGTGTGGGCGAAAAGAAATGCTAAATGTTGTCGCTGACCCTGTTGCCTTTCCCTACTCCTCCTCTCTTTTTGGTTTGGTTTTTACCGTTTTTTTTGTGTTTTTTTTTTGTTTTCCTTCTTTTTTTTCCGTGTCTGTATTATGGAGAACAAGTTGATGCTGTGGAAAGACTTTTGTTAGGCGATGCGTGGTGCTTGAGAAGAGGCGGCATAAGAGAGGCATGTATTTTGCCCCTTCCTCTTCTCTAGATGCACACATTGGCCGGAAGACGCCGACAGCAGATCGAGAGAGAGAGAGAGAGAGAGAGAGAGAGAGAGAGAGAGAGAGCGATGTTAGAGGTGCACCTATGCCGCACGCGAGAGTGAAGTGATAGCTTTGGAATCAACCTGAGTGAGGCAGAGAGCGAGAGAAAAGAACAAACAAACAAACAAAGAACACATACGAGAGACAGAAAGAATAACGAGCAAGCACCAGCGCTGCTATCAAACTTAAACCCTCCTCCTCTTGCAATGCCCATCTGTGTTTCTCGATGCGTGCGAAGCCGCCCCCTCCTATTGGGTAGAGGAGGAATGGCCCATGTGTTTTGGCAGTGCATGTGTTGCCTGTTTTTTTTTTATATCCTCTCTTTCTCTGTTTGTCCGCGCGTGTGTGTTTGCCTGGTCTCTTTAAAGGTCGCGGCCGCTGCCCCCAGCAGCCTTGGTAGCGTTGAGTCAAGCATAGGTGACTAGAGGCGGCGTGTTTGGTTGGCGGACCTCTTCCTTCGTCTCATGCCTCCTTGTATGGCGCGTCTGCGTTGCTGCACTGGTGCATCGACGTGCGCTCTCCCTTTTGCCGCGGGTGTGCTTCGCTGTGGCTGGCGATCGCAGTCCTCTTCGGCGGCGGCGCCTCCCATCCGGCGGCGCAGGAATGCCATCGGTGGCGAGGGCGTGGCACTCACGCCGCTGCGGTGCCCTGGTGGCCCCCGGGTGAAGGCGGAGGGGCTGAAGCACCTCTTCAAGGTGCCGCACGCCGGCTACCTGGCGAAGTACGACCAGCGCTTCATCCTCAACTTGAAGCTCACACACCAGATTGTCTCCCACCTCAGCCGCACGACGCTCAAGACGCACGACAAGCTATTGATTGAGCTGGGACCTGGCACCGGAGCCCTCACGCGGAGCCTGCTGACACGGCCCTGCATCGCCGTGCTGGGTGTTGAGGCGGATGAGCGGTTCAACGCACACCTGGAGCAGATCCGACAGTACACAGATGGAAAGTTTCAGTGGGTGAATGCCGATGTGCTCCGCGTGAAGGAGCTTGAGCTGCTGCATTCGGTGTTCCCCAGCTTTGTTGAGCAGCACCGAAGGCGACCAGCTGCCTCGCACGCGGATGCCGGCGAGGAGGGAGGCGCGGCGGCTGGAAATGCCGATGACGGTGGTGAAGGGTACGAGGGCGCCCCGCTACGAAATGCACGGCGCGAACGCATTTTGCGAAGACGATTTGGGAAATTTGCTGGGTTTAATCACGACACCGCGCGTGATGGTGGCCACAGCCGCGACGCGGGCAACAGCAGTGGTAGTGGTAGTAGTGGCAGTGCCGCCGCCTTTGCTGTGACGGATCGCTGGTGGTCCGATGGGGACGCGAAGGTGGAGGTCGTTGCCAATCTCCCCTTTGACGTCATTACGGAGCTGCTGATGCGGTACGCCGTGGATTGCTCACGCAGGCAGAATTTGTTCGTCTTTGGCCGCGTCCCATTGCATATCTTCACCCAGAAGGAAATTGCGGAGCGCATCATCGCCCCCGCAGGCTCCATACACTTCTCACGCCTGTCGGTGATGTGTCAGTGCTTTTTCCACGTGCAGGTGCGGCAGACATTCAGGGAGATGACGTACTACCCAAAAACCGAGGTGCTTGGGGCGATGCTTACGCTGCAGCCACGCGCCGTGTCACTCGTACCCGCGATGGACGCCGCCACGCTGATGCACTTCACCGATCTACTGATGAAGCCAGGGCATCGTGGCATGACGGTGTACAAGGCGCTGGTGAAGTGTGTTCCGGCAGAGGTGGCGCAGTACATGCTGCAGGAGCTGCGGGTGGACGGGGCACTGACCGTCTTGGACATGACAGCCGAGGAAATCTGCAAACTTGCCCAGCTGTGGCGACGCTTCCTCGAGGCCTCCTCACAGCAACAGCAACCACGCGACGAGACGACGAAGAGCGAGGCGGCCGGCGGAAACGTGGAATGACACGAAGCGGATTGAAAGAACCGCAAACACACAAAACATGCAAGAGAGAATGAGTGGAAGAGGGGAAGGTTTTTGGCTTGTTTGCCCGCTCCATTCGCCTCACCCCCCGTTTCCGTTTAAGGTATGTGAGCCAATGTGCCACAGTTGTGTGGGTGGCGTCCTTATTATTATTATTATTATTATATATACATCTCTCTCTTTCCCTCTGTGTGTATGGCAACAACTTTATGCATGCAAGGAACGACGTGGCGAATCAGCACGCACGCACACACGCACACACGCACACACGCAAAAAGGGAAATTAGCCACAAGCGACGGGCCTGACGTGGGGAGTCTGCGGTTCTTGGTTGCGTGGGTGCGGCAGTCGCCTGCGCCGGCGGCGGCGGCGGTGTTTGTTGTTTGTTCGTCGCGGCCTTTTTTGAGAATGTCGTATGCGTCGCAGTATCGGTGTCGCAGGGAGCATGCAGCCATCTCTGCACTGCCGCAGGTGCGACAGCGGTCACAGCACACTGCCACGCCAAAGACGTTACTATCGGAATCTGCCCCTCCCTCTTTTTATTCTCCTTCTCTCCCTGCTTCCGCCGCCATGACGAGTCCGACCGCGGCGTTGCATCACAGCCGCCACCACCGCTACCACCACGGGGGGTACCGTACGCCTTACATCGGGGCGGCAGCGACACGGCAGCCGCGATGTGATACAACGTCACCTGCGATCCTGTCGCCCTCGCCTCCTCCAGGCGATTGTGCTGCGCGGGGCGGCGAGTTTGCAGAGAAGCTGCACGGCATGTTGCGTAGGTGGGATAAGATGAAGAGCCTTGTTGCCCGACAGAAAGAAACGGAATGTGTTTCTGTCGCATTAATGCAGCAACTTACCGAGTACGGGGACGGCGATGGCGACTGCGGCTGCCGCCACGCCGAACTGCAGAAAGCGATGCAGGACCGCAATAGGGCGCTGCAGCTGCTTAACATAATGCAGATTGAGGGAATCGCCGTGGTACTGCGGTTGCATCAAAAGGTGCTGCAGCAACGGCGGCAGATGTACGCATCGCTGCGTGAAAACACCCGACTGCGGTTCACGGCGTGTGACGACGATATCATCGCAAAGAAAAATGCGGGCAGCAAAGTCATGACGCAGGCAACCAACGACGGTGCGTTAGCGGCACCCTCATCTACAACAACACCCTCATCTACAACAACACCCCACACTGGGAGGCAGCGATGCCGCACAAGCAGCTCCCGCCGCTGAGGCCGTATTTGTGCCGAGGGTGGCCCTGCGTCAAGCGAAGTGGCAGCGGCGGGAGACATAAGAAGTCTCGCACAAAACCACCCTGCAGCACCAGCGGAATAGTGCTCTGGAGGAGCGCCTCTAGCGGCGCCTGCGCAACCCACACGCGTTTATACGACCCACTTCTATCGCCCTGGTGCAGACAATGGCGCGGTCAAACCGCTGCTCTTCCCCCTCTTCTTCGCCGCCTGCGACGGCGACAACGTCAAATGCGGACGATAACAGCGTGACCCCCCCCCCCCCCCCCCCCTTCCTCCCCGCAAGTAGCGGGAACGAGAGGCCGTCGACGCAGCAGGAGGACACTGCGGAAGAGCCTCTACATAGCGACGGCGAAATAAGTGCTCGTTTGGCATCTCTCTCTGATCCTCCCACAGTCCAGTGAGGTGAGAACGAACAAAAAAGGCAATATATTATATAATGGAGATATGGAAGCGCCATTTGCATGAGCAGCTTTAACTTTATCGGAATATATATATGGAAGAATACCATGCGGGGGTAGGGTGGAACGCACGGCAGTCAGTAAAGTCGTGCTGTTCTCCTTTGCTCTTCGTCCCCTACTTTTCTTTTTTTTTTTTTTTTTTTTTTTTCCTTTTTTTTTTGTTTGGTATTGTTGTGTTTTGTCTATTTTGAGTGCAATATTGGTCTTGGGTTGTTGTGGGCGTGCTTCATGCAGAGGCTTTTCCCGCGGTGGACACGACTCCCTCCCTGATCTCTCGCTGTTGTTTGTGTCTTCTCTTGTTGCTTCGCTGCTCCCCTTCGCCTGCCGTTGTGGCAGAGACAGAAACACCACAAATAGAGGCATTGGACCTCGCCGTAGCAGGGGCAGAGGCAGTCTTGCGGGTGGGTGTGGGTCTGGGCCGGCGACTGCTCGCATATGCAGAGTGCCATTGTGTTGGACGCCGGCTCGAGTAGTGTGAAGGCGGCGTGTAGCACCGCCACCGCCCCTAACTCTTTTCCGTCACTGGCAGGTCGTGCAAAGTACAAGCCACTGTTTCATACATCACATGGAGACGCTGCGGTGGCTGTAGGGAATACTGCGGCGGAGCGTCGCGGTCTGCTGCATCTCTCGTACCCCATTCAGCACGGGAGCATCGTCGACTGGGATGCCTGGCACCTGCTGCTGCAGCACATCGAGCAACAGTTGAATACCCCACTGGCCGAGAGGGATGTTTTTTGGGTCGAGCACCCGTTCAGTTCTCGCCCGCAACGAGCGCGTGTGGCGCAGGTTCTCTTTGAAGAGAAGTCTATCTCCGGCATGTGTGTCGGCGTTGCGCCCCTCCTGTCACTCTATGCGACAGGCAACACTACGGGAATGGTGCTGGATGTCGGGGATGGCGTCTCCTCCGTGGCGGCGGCGGTGCAGGGGTACGCTGTCACGGCAATGATGCAGCGGGAGGACTTTGGAGGAGGCGCCGTCACGCAGTACCTCCAGCGACTGTTACGCGAGTATGGCAGTTACTACGCTACATGTGATGGCGGCGACGGCTCTCATGGGGTACACAGCACCGTAACCAGTCGATTTAATCCGTCACGCTGCGGCGCCGAGCGTGAGCTGGTGCGCACCATCAAGGAGCAGCGCTGCGAGGTGAGTCCACATCCCGTACCAACAAGCGCCATTCCTGCGCGTGCCGCGGAAGGAGCGGCTGGTGATGATGGCGAGGGCGATACGGCTCTGTTGAGTTTTGCGCAGGCTGTTGCCGCAACACCGCCAAAGAAACATTGCCTGCCCGATGGCACGGAGCTGATGCTTGGGTATGAGTTGCTGCAGGCCCCGGAGGTGCTATTTAACCCTGCCCTTCTTGGGAAAGAGCATGTCGGCTTGGCGGAACTTGTCGCTAATGCGGTGCGGGTGGCTGACATTGAGCTTCGCGCGGAACTGTGCCAACACGTTTATTTAACAGGTGGTTCGACGCTTCTCAGTGGATTTGGTCAGCGCTTCCTTTCGGAGTTGCTGCGGCTTACTCCACGGAACTGCAAGGTGCGGGTCTCAGCACCGGCAGAACGATCCCACATGGCATGGCTGGGTGCATCGTTTCTCACTCGGCTCTCGACGTTCCCGCAGGAGATGGTTGTAAGTCGGGCGGACTTCCTGGAGGAGGGTGAGCGTGCGCTGCACAACCGCCGTGTCGGATGAAAAGATGCCAAGGAAAGGGGGTGGGAACAAGATGACGTACGTGTCTAAACACACAGAAAGAGGCGTGTATATATAATATACACGGCCTTCACGGTACCATTTGTGTGTGTGTATGTGGGGCAGCCGGAGGAGGCGGAGAGGTGGGTGGGTGAAGCGATGCAAGGATAGCTGTATTTGCGGCAACGGCTTTACTTACTGTCGTGGGTATTTAGTCCGCATATGTGTCTCTTCCCTCGTCTCTCTTTGTGCACATATATGATCCTCTTCGTGTATCGGGCGTGTTTTGACTGGAAGGGGGAGGGGTGTCTACCGCTCGAAGCAGCAGCGGCAGCAGTAGGAAGTGAAGCAGAAAACGATGTCGATGCGACGCAGGGATCTCCGTGAGTTCCTGCGAGGAAAGGAGGAGGAAAACGAACGTGCCCGTGACGCCGTTCTCCGTTCCTTGCAGGCAGAGTATGAAAAGCTGCTGGCAAGCAAACTCTCTGCTCTCATGTGGCAGGTAGAGCATCACCGCCGTAGAGCTGCGTCCTCACAGGCCGATTCCGCTGCGGTGACAGCGACGAGTAATGTTGTGTCGGGTGAGGGCGTGGGAAGTGGCGCCAGCAACGTGATGGCGCACTGCCAATGCTGCAAGATAGCACCTCGGCATTGCTTATGCCCTGAGCAAAACATCAGGGTGCTGCCCCCTGACCTGCAGCAAGGGGATGCATTGGTTCGCCACTGGCTCGCGTGTGACGTCGCTAGCGTCAACGAGGCAGAATTGTTTGCGGAGGCGGAAGAGACACGCACGCGGGAGCCTCTGCCGGTGACGAGCCACCCAACCACATACAGCGGCCAGCACGGTCGTACTGAAGTTGGTGCGTCAAGGATGCAAGTGGACGACGACGCGAAGGAGGGAGACGTGGCAAATGATGCGAATGGCATTAGGGCAAGTTTGTTCTTTGGCCCACTGGCGCGTGAAACGCCAACGCAGACGTCGTCCCACACCTACGTTGATCCGCCTCCGGTTACGTACACAAGTTATACCGCGATAGCCACCACCACGCTGGCTAGACCGCCGGCGCCCGCCGTGCAGCTGCATAAAATGCCGACAGAGGAAGCAGTCAAGGCACATCTCAGGAAAAAAATTGCTTCCCTTTACAATGACGCCGAGGACATGAACCGGTCTCAATCGCGGAAGGCGCAGCGTAGGAATCTAATAGGATTGCCAGAGGGTTGGTAAAATTATACCTTGGGCCGCCCTTGCAAGGGTTAGTAGAGGACCTTTGTATTTATTCATTTATGCTTTCCTTTACTGAACCATGGAAAAGGAGAAGACGAGCTGTGAGCTCCATCGCCTGCATGACCTGGACGATGATTGCTGAATGAAGTGAACCCCGTAAAAAGGTGAGTTTTTATTGCTATTATTAGTTATTTTGTATATGTCTTCTCTGCATGGATTCTATGCGTGAATATTCCGCTCCGCTGTGAAGTTCGTCCTTGTGCTGAGGTTCATGGAAGCAGGCATGCCCTCTCACGTGTGAAGAGGGATCAAGGCCGCACACACACAAAGAGAGAGAGAGAGAGAGAGCGTGTGTGGCATCGCGAGGATCGGATATAACAAGCGACAACGTTGTTGTTGTTGTTGTTTTTTTTTTCTGTTGTTTTCACATGTGGATAATTCCCTCTGCAGCTGCTCTGTGATGCGTGCAGTCCTTGGTACGTATACATGCGGGCTCGTGGGGCAGGAGAAGAAAACAAAACAAAAAGGCGGGTGGAGTGGGGTGTGTAAAAAGTCACTTGTGTGGATGGCGCTGGTCATTGACAGCTGTCGTGGGTAGCCAGTACGCAGTTGTCTGCATGAGTCTGTCCGTCCTCCTCTCTCCCTGGTGTGTGTGTGTCTGTGTGTGTGTGTGCTTTTATTTTGTTTTGTTGTTGTTTTATTTTAAATTTCCGTTTTTCGTTGGGAGCTGTGTTTTGTTGTTTCCGCTGTGCGCGCCCACCCACACCCACCCACACAACCGTAGGATGCATACCCCAACGTTGCCGACGCACTTCAAGACGGCCTTGCAGGCATGCGCAGGAGCAGGGGAGGCTCAGCAGTCACGCGGTAATGATAGGGGCACCGGCTCTCCTGTAGGTAGTGACGCAGAGGATGAGTTCGGTCAGTTCTTTGAGGCGTTAGCCGCACCGGACGTGGTGACGAGGACGCAGGCGGCGTCAGTCACCGTTGCGGCAATATCGCGGGATTCCACATCGGCAGGAACAGGAGCAAGCTGTGCGAATTTCCCTGGGGCGGTCGCCGCTGTGCATGGCGTACGGTTCAGCACGCCGGCATCGCCTCTCAGCACCACCTCCTCGGTGCGCGGGCTGGAGGGGAGTTCTGCCCTACCGCCCGGCGTGGCAAACAATGCGGCAACTCCATTGCACCGTGCCGCGGGCGCACCATGGGCGGCATCCTCGTGGAGTGAGAGAGCGGGCAGGAAGACGTCACCCGCGACTTGTTTTAATGGGCATGCGCCCACCCTGCCGGGACACACTGGAGGCTGCGACAAGGCAACGGTATCAACGCGTGTCCCGAGTATGCATGCAGGTGATGCTGCCTCTGCCCCAACAGCTACAAGTCTGTCTCCCAAAAATAAGCGTAAGCACGACGCACAGCATAACCACAAATGTGACGGGGAGTTACCTTTAACTGAAACAATTGCTCTAGTTTCTTATTCAAGCCCTACTATCAATACACCGGAGAGTTGCTGCATGACCTTGGCGGAAGGCAAATTATCTCCACCTGAAAGGGGCGCGACGATGTTGCTGCCGTTGTTGGAAATCAATGGCGCCGCGGAGGAGCACAGTGTCGTTTCCTGCACGGGCAGCAGCATTCATGGGTCAATGGCATCCGACAGTGTACCCAAGCTTTTGCCCACTGCCACGAGCATGAGGCCGCCTCATAACGATGGGGTCTGGGAAAATGTTACTCCGTTGCTGCGGCCACGCCTTAACTGTGCCTCGAGCGAAACAGAGGAGGATGGGTCTGGTGTGTGTGCTACACACGGGCAGGTCGAGGTGGACGATGATGACGATGAATTTGGGGAGTTTGTGGAGGTCGCTCCTCGTCCGGGCATGGAGCCAGTGGCCACTCCGGAGGTGATGCCGGAGGGAGGGCAGCCACTGGCTCACGCCATAGATGGACCGGAGAGGGAACCTGTTCACGAAGTAGCAGCGAACGGAGAAACGGGGAATGAGCAAGACCACGAAAATGATATTGATGAAGAAGAGGGGGAGTGGGCCGCATTTACAGGTGCTGTCGCTTCTCCATCTTTACAACTGCAACAAGTGACTTCTGCGGCGGGGGCTGCAGGAGTCAGAGACGTCGACGCAGCCGAGGAGCCTTGTTCTCAGGACAGTGAGGGCAAATTTATCTTTCATAGGGACATGGATATTGCCAGAATGGTTCGTTGGCTTCGCGAGCTGACTGGATGTGTGCTAGACGGGGAGGAGAGTCGCGATCCCAGCAGGTGGGGTGCAACAGAGCAACCGCAGCGTGGCGCCGTCAGTAGCCACTGCGGGGAGCTGAGAGAGGGACAGTCGCGGAGTGAACTTCTGTATTCGGTGATGGAGTCTCTCCCCTTCACAGGACTCGGTTTACCCAACGTGGCCGGCGATACGAGTCCGGGGCCGGACTGCTCCGTTGTCTTGGGTGGTTCTTTTGTGTCCCACAACCTCCCAGTGTGGATGCCGTTTTTGGGGGAGGGGCGCGAGGCTGACATTGAGACTTCGCAGCAGCTGCATCAAACAGCAGCCACCTTGAGCCTCGTTGACTTCGTCACGACGGCGCGGATCTCCGACCGGCATATCTTCCACCGTCATGAGCAGCTGGAGTCTGTCCTTCTCCAGGCCTCTCAGCTACAGCTCAAGGGTATACCTCTCAGTGAGGCGATTGCCAAGGTGCGGGATGTCGCGACAGAATACCAACGACAACAACAAAAACAAGAAGAAAAGGAAAAACAACACGCACATGTGATAAATGGCCCGGTGTGGGAGATACACCCGATGTTGCCGGTGCCATGCATTGGAGGGAGTCTTTTTCCTGCATCTTCGCTAAGGCTACCGCTCTAATGGATGATTCCGGAGCATATATATAATATATATATATATATATATACTCCTCTTGCTCCCTCTCTTTTTTTTTCTCTCTGTTTGGTTGGGCTCTATTTTTGCGCTCTTGGGGTTTCTGCCCCCATTGCACGTCCTGGCTGAATTTCAAAATGTAGCAAGCATGTGGTGGAGGAAACAGAGGGAGTCGCGTAGTGGCTGTGTGTCCGCTGTGTTTGATGGTTTGTGCAAAAATTGACCTTCTCTTACCACCGCCGCCGCTGCCCCTTCACATCTCTTGTGAATTTGTGAGCCGTCCTCTTTTTTCTCCCTCCCCTCGTTTCGTGTTTTCTTTATTTACACAAAACAAAACGAAAACAAACGGCAAGAGAATACAACTTGCATAAAGCTACAACCAACACTAAACAAAACACACACACACACACATAAGAAATGGCGACCACAAGCGTATGGAACAGCATTAATTCCCTGCCGCCAGACGCCATCTTCGCCCTCGCCGCAGAGGCAAAGAAGGCGCCACAGCCAAAGGCCGACCTCATAATTGGCGCATACCGCGATGCGGACGGCCGCCCGTACCCGCTCAAGGTTGTGCGGAAAGCCGAACGCCGCCTCCTCGAAATGAACCTCGACAAGGAGTACCTGCCAATGGCAGGGTATGGTCCGCTCATTGAGGAGTCCATGAAACTCATCTACGGCGACAGCGTGCCGCGTGAAAACCTGGTGGGGGCGCAGGGACTGAGCGGCACTGGCTCGCTCTGCCTGGGCGCATTTTTCATCTCCCGCGTTCTCTCGACGAAGACTCCTGTGTACATTTCTAATCCTACCTGGCCCAATCACTACGCTGTGATGTCCACTGCTGGTCTGACCGACTTGCGCCAGTACCGCTATTACAACGACACCCGCCGCTGCCTTGACTTTGAGGGTCTCATGGAAGATCTCGGCGCGGCACCGGCTGGCAGCGTAGTCATCCTGCACGCCTGCGCACACAACCCAACAGGTATGGACCCGACCCATGAACAATGGGGCGAGATTGCCAAGCTGTTTAAGACGCGTCGCCTCATCCCCTTCTTTGACTCCGCGTACCAGGGCTATGCCACCGGCAGCCTTGATAACGACGCCTACGCGGTTCGCCTCTTCGCACGGCAGGGAATGGAGATGTTGGTGGCGCAGTCCTACTCAAAGAACATGGGACTGTACTCGGAGCGTGTGGGCGTGTGCTCCGTCGTCACTGCCAATCCCTCCAAGGCGACCATGATAAGGATGCAGCTTGAGCACATCGCACGTGGCCTGTACTCCAGCCCGCCGTCACACGGCGCTCGCGTGGCGCACCTCGTCTTGAGCGATCCTGAACTCCGCTCAGAGTGGGAGGCGGAGCTGTGCGGGATGGCGCAGCGCGTGCAGGAAATGCGTCAGGACGTCTACAACGGCCTGAAGCAGCGCGGCACCCCGGGCAACTGGGAGCATGTTGTTCAGCAGGTCGGCATGTTTTCGTACCTTGGCCTCACCAAAGCCCAGTGCGCGAAACTCGTTCAGAAGCGCGTGTTTGTGCTGGCGTCCAGCCGTGCCAACATGGCTAGTCTGACAAAGCAGACGACGGGCCTGCTTGTCGGTGCCATTGATGACGTGGTGCGCGACGTCACGTTAGCCTCGTCTGGGGTGTCGACGGCTGCAAAGGCGAAGATATGAGGAGGGAGCAGCAAAAGAAAAATGCACATTGATAACGGAGCCAACAGAGTAATAATAATAACGGTGCTTAAACTCGCCTAACAAGCAAGCAAACAAACAAGAAAAGGAAAAAAAAGACGAGGACAGAAGAAAGCAGGCGAGGGGAGAAGGGGGCAAAAAAAAAATACACACACACACACACACAAGACTAAATGGTAAGCCCCGGGGGAGAAAGAAGAAAATACGAGGGACTTCGCCCGCCCATCTACATATGTAAATGCATACATACACGCCTATGTAGCCACAACAGTGTGTGTGCCTCTCTCTCTCTCTCTCTCTCTTGGTGGGTGGGTGGGTGGGTGGGTGGGTGTGGGATAATGCAAGTTAACCTTGAGCGTAGACCAGAACAAAAAGAGAGAAGACAAAAGGAGGGAAGTATACATATATATAATTACTTATCTTCCCTTTCATCGACCTCAGTGTTGTTTAAGACGTATACGTATGAAACGAACGGGTGAATCGGGGAATTTGTGTGTTAATCGCGGTGCAATCAATGATTTTGAAAAAAAAAAAAAACTAACAACTAACAACGGCTTGGTAAATAAAGAAATCCCCTCCTAATGCGGCAGCCAATGAATCCACCCCGCCCTATAAAGTACGAAAGAAGGCGGTGGAAGGAGGAGGAACGCAACTCGGAGAAGCCAATGACTGTACGGGTTACGAAAAGCACACAAAAACGAAAAAAAAAAAGAGGAACTGAAACCAAACATAATTGATGGCTGCAGAGCAGGTCACCCCACACTCGTCATAATTTTGCCTTTGCTACTAAAGGCAAAGCAAAATTTTGTTTTGAGCTTGATTTTCTTGATTTCATCGAGTTATATCTTTCTTCCCTTGTTTTTGTCTTGGGGCCGTGACCGCCGCACGCGTGCGTGTGGAATAACGTGCAGAGACGCGTTACGTTGGCCGTACGAACGATGGAGGGGGGTGGAAGGGGCAGATGCATCCCAAGTTGGGGCGGACGGAGGCGTAGCGGTGCCAACGAGGGCACGGTAACAATGCAGTCGTTTCTTCTGGGTGCAGGTGCCAGTGGTATGCCTTCCACAACCGTTCGGCGTTCTGTGTTTTGTTTTTGTTTTTTGTTTTTTTTTTTATTTCTGTTTTTGTTTTTGTCTTTTGTTTTTTTTTTCCTTTTGATCTGGCCATCTACCTTCGCTTGTGACTTTTGGTCACTGCAACGAGGTCACGCGTCGCTTGAGGTGAAGCGTTGTGCCGTCTTCCCGCTTGCCACGCCAGCATGCGCCGCTGCGGATGGTGGAAGACCAGCGCATCTACAGCACGGACCAAAAACATGAATTGTTGGGGCAGCCAATCGCCCACCAGGCAGGTAAGCGCAACGCCTTGGTGAGTACGACAGACGGAGATCTTTTTGTTTTCGTTTTCGTTTTTATCTACTTTGGATCTGCAAAGCAAGCAAACACAAGCCAAACAATGTTCTCAAGGAAACGTATGTTGTTCCGTTCCTCCATAGTCTGCACTGGCGCCACGGCTGCGCTGCGGCGTGGGGGGACCGCGCTGACAGCTACGACGGCAGCAGCACCAGCGCCTGGCGCACGTCTTGCTGCTGCCACCGCCGTGCGCTGGGCGTCCTCCCTTGTGAAGGACACTGCATCGCCGCTCACGCAGCAGCGACGCTTTGTGGAAAGCACGGACGGCCGCTCTTCCGCGTCGGTTGTCATCGTTGATCCTGCGCTTGCCTCTAAGGAGCGTGACCGCATGGCGCGCGAGATGTTATCCCGCAACCTCCCCCGCCCGCAAGCCGAGGAGCGCACAGTGGTGACGCTGAAGGGGCTGGAGTACACCGTGCCGTACACCCTTCGCTTCGTGGTCGAGGGGACAGTGGGGGCAAAGGATGCCGAAGCTAAGGCAGGGAAAGTGCTACAAGGGGCCTTCGACATGGTGAATCAGTACCTGAACACCTTTAACCCCAACAGCGAGGTGTCACTGGTAAACATGATGCCCGTGGGGGAGAAGCACGTCATGTCGGAACACCTGCGGCGTGTGATGGAGTGCTCTGTACGGGTGTATAAGTCAAGCGGGACCTGCTTTGACCCTGCCACGGCGCCACTTGTCGAACGCCTCCGTTCCATGATGAAAGCCGAAGACAATGCCGACACTCTTACCCTTACAGAGCAGGAGGTGGAGCGATTTTCACTTCCTCAGAGTTTTGACATAAATATTGAGGAAGGCACCATTGCCCGTAAGCATGAACGGGCTAAGCTGGATCTGGGCGGCGTAAACAAGGGCTACACCGTGGACTGTGTGGTGGAAGGGCTGAACGCGGCAGGTTTACCAGACGTGATGTTTGAGTGGGGTGGCGACTGCCGTGCGTCGGGAGTGAACTACACGCATCAGCCATGGGCCATTGCCATCGCGCGCCCCCTGACCCTCGCGGAGGTCGTGCAACGTGCCAAGGGAGAAAAGGTTGAGAGTAGTGAAGGTCCATCCTTGCTGCGAGTCATGTACCTCAACGACGAGGCCGTGTGTACAAGTGGCGACTATGAAAACGTCGAGTACTGCCCCAAGTATGGCGTCCGCGGCACCATCTTTGACTGGAAGAAGAAGGAGCTGCTGGAACCCGTTGAGAGCGAGCTGGCGCAGGTCTCCGTCAAGTGCTACAGTGCAATGTACGCCGATGCGCTTGCCACGGCGAGCCTCATCAAGCGCGACATCTCTAAGGTGCGATACATGCTGGAGGAATGGCGCTACTCGCGGAATCGCGTCACAAACTACACAGCCTACACACGTGAGAACGAACGTGTCGCTCGTATGTATGAAATCGCAAAAGAGGACGGCGAGACCCGCGAGAATCGCATTGCCGGCTCGCTTCCCTCCCGTGTTGTCATTGTGGGTGGCGGCCTCGCCGGGTTGTCAGCCGCCATTGAGGCCGCCGCCTGCGGCGCCCAAGTTATCGTGCTGGAGAAGGAGTCGAAGCTTGGCGGCAACAGCGCCAAGGCGACGTCCGGCATCAATGGCTGGGGCACGCGTGCGCAGGCGCTGCAGGATGTCCATGACGGCGGGAAGTACTTTGAACGCGATACGTATCTTTCAGGCCTCGGCGGCACCACCGACCCGGGCCTGGCGAGCACCCTCTCCGTCAAGAGCGGGGATGCCATTAGCTGGCTCTCCTCGCTGGGGATCCCCCTGACAGTGCTGTCGCAGCTCGGTGGGCACAGCCGCAAGCGCACGCACCGCGCCCCTGACAAGGCGGATGGGACACCCGTGCCCATCGGCTTCACCATCATGCGCGCGCTTGAGCACCACATTCGCACGAAACTTGCGAATCGCGTGACGATCATGGAAAATACCGCCGTCACCGCGCTTCTGAACGAATCCAAAGGCCTGCCTGATGGTGGGCGCGAAGTGAAGGTTACAGGTGTTTCCTACGTGAAGGCAAACGATGCAAGCGCCTCTCCGATGAAGCTCACTGCAGATGCCGTCATTCTTGCCACCGGTGGGTTTTCAAACGATCGTATGTCGCAATCACTTCTCCGCGAGTTTGCGCCGCAGCTGTCTGGCTTCCCCACGACCAATGGACCGTGGGCCACTGGTGACGGCGTCAAGCTGGCACGACGCCTTGGCGCCACGCTTGTCGACATGGACAAGGTGCAGCTTCACCCGACGGGCCTCATCGATCCAAAAGACCCTGCCAATACGACGAAGTACCTGGGCCCAGAGGCGCTGCGTGGGTCGGGCGGCGTCCTGCTAAATAAGAGAGGTGAGCGTTTTATTAACGAGCTTGAACTTCGCTCCGTGGTATCCAATGCGATCATTGGCCAAGACGACGAATACCCAGGCTCCAATGGCAGCAAGTTTGCCTTCTGCGTGCTCAACAATGCGGCAGCAAAGCTGTTTGGCGTCAATGCGCTGAAATTCTATGCAGATACCTTGGGAGTGTTTCAGCGTGTGGAGGATGTGGAGATGCTGGCGCAGCTCATTGGTTGCGATTTTCAAACTCTGTATAAGACGCTGGAGGAATACGAGAGTTCCTGCAAAGCCAAGACAGTGTGCCCACTTACGGGAAGATTTGTCTACCCGTGTGTGGTGGGCCCACAGGGTCCCTTCTACGTCGCCTTTGTGACGCCGTCGATCCACTACACAATGGGCGGCTGCCTCATCTCACCCTCGGCAGAGATTCTGCATGAACACCACTCCGCGAACATTCTCGAGAACCAAAGCCCCATTCTTGGCCTCTTTGGAGCGGGTGAGGTGACAGGCGGGGTGCACGGCAAGAATCGTCTTGGTGGTAACTCGCTGCTGGAATGTGTCGTCTTTGGACGTATTGCGGGCGATCGCGCAGCGACAATCCTGCAGAAACAGGCGCTTGCGCTTTCAAAGGACAAGTGGACGTCCGTCGTCGTCCGTGAATCCCGCTGTGGTGAACAGTTCGGCGCCGGCTCGCGTGTCTTGAGGTTCAACCTCCCCGGTGCTCTGCAGCGCTCTGGACTGCACCTCGGTGAGTTCGTTGCCATTCGCGGTGAGTGGGATGGCCAGAAGCTGATTGGCTACTACAGCCCCATCACACTACCAGACGAGCGTGGCACCATATCCATCCTCGCTCGTGGGAACAAGGGGACGCTGCGGGAGTGGATTTCGGCCATGCGTCCTGGGGACTCGGTGGAGATAAAATGCGGCGGTGGCCTGCGCATCGACCACAATGTGGAGAAGAAGCAGTTTATATTCCGAAAGCAGGTTATCCGACAATTTGCCCTTATTGCGGGAGGCTCAGGTGTTGCACCAATGCTGCAGATTCTTCGCGCCGCGCTGAGCCATCCCTACGTGGATAAAACGGAGTCCGTCCGTTTGTTGTACGCCGCTGAGGAGTATGAGGAGCTGACCTACCGCGACACGCTGCGTCGCTACGCCAAGGAGTACCCTGACAAGTTTGCCTATGAGTTTGTGCTCAGCAACCCGCCTGAGGGATGGACCGGTGGCGTGGGCTTCGTTGACCGCGAGTCCATGCAGAAGACGCTGCAGCAGCCGTCAAATGATCTACTGGTTGCCATCTGCGGTCCCCCGGCAATGCAGCGTGCGGTGAAGAACGAACTGCTGATGATGGGCTACAACAAGGCGCTCGTGCACACGATTGATGATGACATGCAGTCCACGTAGTCAACCACACGCACGCATCCCGAGGAATGCAGATAAAAGCGTGCGGTGGTGTGTAGAGGGTGGGGCTGTAGTGCGTGGGAGAACGAAACGACGCGTCCTTTGTGCTCAAAGGAACCGATAAATAGTAATTTGGAAATCGACAAGGTAAGACAAAAGAAGAAAGGGAAAAAAAAAAAAACGAAGAAATGGCTTCCCCACCCCCTGACAAGTTTCATCATCAATC